TTTTTAAATAATAGTGTGTGATTTGCGCCTGCTCTTGCTATGTGGTATAGGACTGTGCGTACTTCCTCTTCTCTATCAACAGTGACAAAAGTCATTATTTTGCAACTGTCTGGGAAAAAAAAAGACCAAGACAAAACAGCTTAACTTCTGTACCTCAGAGTGTGTGGTGCACCCTTGGGAATGCCCTTGAGGCCCTTCCACGGCCTCCAGCCAGGTTCGGTTTCTCTCATTCAGTTTCCACATCTGTCCCCTGATGTAGAGCAAACAGTTGGCAGAAGATTTGGGTCCTTAGTTACAATCTGCTGCTAAACAGGTTGTGTGACGTTGAGAAAGTCTCTTAATCTCTCTGGGTTTGAGTTTATTTATTTCTAAAAGTTTTTCCAGGTCCACAAACCTTATGATTTTTATGACTGAATTTAACAGACTATTGTTTGCTTTATGTGTGATTCCAGCTCCTTTTTGTCATCATAAAATATAATTTTATAGCATGGCTATCAGTTATGTTCATAAAATGTATGATATTTAGAAAGTAAAAAATTAAATGTGCTATGAATAAAGCATTAAACAGAAAAGAGATTGATGAAGGACAATGCTCCTTCTCACTAAATGCTGCCTTTCACGTTGTTAAAATGGATGTTTTGTTTTTAATTTGAAACCCTCCAAAGAATGCTGTAGTCATTTTAACCATGTAGCGTCCCTTGCAATGTTATCTAAAGCTCTCAAATTTCACTCAAGAAACCCTCTGAAAAAGCTGGGAAGAGTAATGTTGATCTTCCTAACTCCTGGCTGTGAATTATTGTCAGTGCCTTGAATTTATCATTCACGTGTGAAAAAAAGGTGTAGTCTGTTCCATATAATACTGGTTCCTCCCCATCCCCAGTTTTGTATCTGAAGTTTTGTTAAAACATGAAAATGTTCTCTTGGTTTTTAACACCTTCTTAAATTTCCTTTCTGTGTTATTAATATACTCCCCATGGTCTCGCCTTCCCCTTCACTTCCTTATCAGTGTTGTGTGTATGCTCATGTATGTGTGTGCAGTGCTTTTGAAGTTAACCAAGAAATTTCAAAGCAGCGAACAGGAGGCAGTCACACAAAACCTGTTATGTACAATCTGCGGGAAAACAGAGTTGATGTGAGAAGAAGGCTGGGGGAATTAAACACACACATGACATTTATTTTTGCAGAAATAAGATATTCTTGAGAAATCATTCATTCTTGCCATTTCGTTTTTGGGGTTTGTCATCCTTTAAGTTTCTCCTTGGAAGCTTCTAAAATGATCTGTGAATGTTCTTAACGACATTTTGCAAGCCAATTCATAAAGATATAAAAACAATTTCATATTCATGTAAAAAAGGCATGCACCCAGCTGTAGAGAAGGATGGAGTATGTACTATGGCACCTACACGCAGTGGAGTAAAACCTACACGCAGTGGAGTAAAACACAGCTATGAAAAAGAATGTGGACAGTCACCGTGACCTGATGTGAAGTGGTTTCCAGGGGCTGGTAGGAAGTGACAAAAGACACGTGCAAAATAGTATATATAGTATGCTAACTTTTGTGTGAGAAGGAAGGGGAAAATAAGACCAAACATAAACTTAAGTGTTTATTTTTACAAAATGAAATCCAGGAAGGTTAGGCCAAAAACAGCGAGGTTGGTTACCTCTAAGAGGTGGATAGGATACGGGAGGGAGAGACACTTCTTTGAGAATTTTTTGTATAGCTTTACTTTTGGAAGCATGTTAACATTTTATGTTTTAAGAAATAAAAATAAATCATTAAGAACTGAAAGCACATTGAAATCAATGAACTCAACCTTATTTCAAATGAATACCATAATTGCACTAAAGAGAGAGAAAAACAGGGGTGCCTGGGTGGCTCAGTCAGTTAAGCAACTGACTTCTGCTCAGGATATGATCTTACAGCTCATGAGTTCGAGCTCCACATCAGGCTATGTGCTGACAGCTCAGAGCCTGGAGCGTGTTTAGATTCTGTGTGTCTCTCTCTCTGTGCATTTCCCCCATTCACATTCTGTCTCTCCTTCAAAAAATAAGTAAACATTAAAAAAAACTTTTAAAACAGAGAGAGAGAAACATGAATCCAAGTAGTATATGAACACAGGTTTTAACTATATACCCCATTCTTGGATGGCAGGGAATGAGGGAGAGTTGCAAACAAATTCTGAAATCTTTCTCTAGAGCTGTTTAGCATAGCAGTGTGGGTGAAATGGTGAAGCTATAACAGATATGACATAGAATTTAGCATATGAGTACACGTGTGGACCTGGTTGAATGAAAAAGACAAAAATGAATGGAAAAAGGCAGAACAAGCCCTTTAGGGATGGATTGAGATTAGATTTATCTGTCTGAACTTGAGATTTATAAGATATACGTAAGTATGCATATATGTACACATATGTGTCAATGTTTATTATGTATGTGTATGTGTGTTTTATACGTGACCGTATAGTGAAGGAATTTGACAACACTGTAATTGTGTGATCAAAATTAACATCACCAGCAAGAGGAGCCATGGATTTCATCACGTGGCTCCAGATGAGATCTCCTGAGAAGAACACATCATCACCCAAGAAGCATACTGGCAGGAAATACATAACCCGAATCTCATCACGGGGAAACATCCAACACATCCAGAATGAGGAACTTTCTATTTAACAAAATGTATGAGGGGAAAGACTATATTCTTTAAAAATGTCCATGTTCCAAAAGATAAAGAATTACTATGAAAAATGTTCCAGATTAAGGGAGACTAAAGAGAATGTCAACTAAATTTAATATCTGACCTGAGACTGAATCCTTCTCCGTAGAGGGGAAATGTTATAAAGCACATTGTTGGATAAATTGGAAACATTGGAATATGAATGGGAGATTAGTTAACAGTATATAACTGTTAAATTTACTGAAGTTGATAACCGAACTGTTGTTACATAAGAAAATGTTCCTGTTCTTTTTTTGTTTTTTTAATTTTTTTATTTTTGAGACAGAGAGAGAGAGACAGAATGAGCAGGGGAGGGTCAGAGAGAGAGAGAGATACAGAATCTGAAGACAGGCTCCACGTTCTGAGCTGTCAGCACAGAGCCTGACGCGGGGCTCGAACCCACGAACTGTGAGATCATGACCTGAGCCGAAGTTGGACGCTTAACCGACTGAGCCACCCAGGCGCCCCGAGAATGTGCCTGTTCTTAGGGAATGTACACTGCCTACTCTTCAGGAACATCATTTAGTACTTAGGGGAAAGAGCTCTGAAATGATTCAGAAAACATCATAAGTACATGTACATGTGTATGTATATGTGTATATCTATATCTGTGCACACACACATGTATGAGAGAGGGAACAGACAGAAATGATAAAACAAATGAGGTTTCAACTCTTGTTAAGAATAAATGAGTCTAGGCAAAGGCTATCCATGTTCTCTGTATTATTTTGTTCTTGCAACTTTTAAGTTTGACTTTATATCCAAATGAAAAGATTTTTTCCTCAAAAGAATAAATTTCACCCTAAAAATAAACACTAATATGTAACCAGTAATAAATAGCAATAAAATTAGTGATTAAAAAGCAGCTCTTGATCTAATATAACTACTAGATTTTAATCATTACTTTCTATTAGCATACTTATAATTTATTTGCAATTAAGAATAAATTGGCTAGTAATGCTGAATCTGCTTAAAACTGCTCAAAAGTAATAATAATTTAGGAAGGCTTTGGGAAACAAAGCTGGTATTAAAGAAAATAATATGAATGGGAACACATTAGACAGTCTATTAGAAAGTAGATTCCATTTACAGCAACAATAAACATTAAAGGTGTACAGAAACAAATTAAGAAAGCAGTTTTGAAGCCTGTTTGAAAATTTTAATAACATACGAAATCTGTTTGAAAATTGTAAAAACATCTTGGACAAACAAAGATGATTTGATCAAATGGAGAGGGAACAAGTTCCTGAATTAGAAAACTCAGTATGATAAAGATTGCTTTCCAGACAGAGTCATTATGAACAAGTGAGACAATGTGATATAGGCAAATACACCAATGAACAGAATAGAAAGCCCAGAAATAGACCCACAAATATGTAGAAACATAATATAACAGTGATAACTTTGCTGATAATGAAAACTATGGACTATACAAAAAATTTTGCTGAATACTGTTTTCCATATGAAAAAATAGATCCTAACTCACACCATAGAACAAAATGAATTCCAGTTGTATTGTAGATTTGAATATGAAGAACAGAAATTTAAAAATTTTTTTAAATGTTTTATTTCTCAGAGAGAGACAACGTGAGCAGGGGAGGGTCAGAGAGAGAGAGAGAGAGATACAGAATCTGAAATAGGTTCCAGGCTCTGCGCTAGCTGTCAGCACAGAGCCCGACTCAGGGCTTAAACTCACAAACCGTGAAATCATGACCTGAGCTGAAGTCGGATGCTTAACTGACTGAGCCACCTGGGTGCCCCAAAGAACAGAAATTTTAAAAGAACACCAGAAGAATGTTCACGTAACTTCAGGGTTGTGAGGGACTTCATAGATTAGATGTGCACACTCTACAAGAAATAATTGGCATATTTTACTACATTAAAATAAAAAAAAATTCTCTACAACAAAGCCATCATGAACAAAATAAAGAGCCAAGTCATAGACTGGAGTAGGTAATCATTTATAATCAGCAAAGGATTGTTTCCAGTGTATAGGAAGAATTCCTTAAAATCACTAAGGAAAAATGGGCAAAAGGGATAAATGGGGAGTTCCTAGGACATGTAGTTTCTCATATGCACTGTTTCATAATGATAAAATGATGAAAATGATCAAACACTCTTTGTGGGCCAAATATAGAAAAGCAGCCTTCTATCTTTAGTTATCTCACTGGGCTTCCAAACTAGTACAATAAGTTCTTGATTGTATGTATAGCCACCTCAAGTGCTTTAATATCAAATTGTGAAGGTATTTCAGTAGCTAATGTTATATCATGAAATTTCATAGGACCAATCCTTTCCGGAGCATGAAAATGGTTTTCAGGTTGGAATGAGATTAGAAGGCATTGACCCCCGACATCCATCTGTGTTCTGTGTGCTTTCTGTAGCTGAGGTAAGAGATGGTGTTATTGTTTTGGGCTGAGTGCACAGTGACAGATGAGAATTATTTAGAAAATAATGAATTGGTGCTTTCTGGTATAAACAGGTTCCAGTACATTATGGATTAATTTTAGTCAGTGATGGGTGAAATACATTTCTTAATGAAGTTTTTCCTTCTCTAAAGATGAATCTTTTAATAAGTCCCTTATCACTAACAGTTACCCTTAATTCAGTTGGTAAATGGTTTTCATGTGAGGTTGTTGACAATCAGTGAATCCCACAGTGTTGCTTTTGTCTGTTAAAAGAGACATAATTATTCAAGTTTTAGCTGAATTAATGAGAGATGCAAGTGGAAAATATCCGTGCACATGAATTATAGATTTATATAAATGAAAGCATTTATGATAATTATATAGAATAAAGAGCCATTGATGAAAGTAAATGACTTATAAAATATAATATTTACTAAACATTTTATATTTTTTAAATGATGAAAACCCTCTATTTTTAATAACATCACATAAAAAATACTATTCACTTAATTTGTTTGATTATAGCTCTGAAAACTTGTATAGCCTCTCTTAAGGATGCACTCCACATTGTTTTATTATTTCCTTTATTGGGCATGCTAGATCCCTATTTTAGGGTTGAAATGAGGCCATGTCCATTTGGGTTTTGCTCTGTACTTCAGCTTACACTGTCTTGGGATATGAATCCTAGCTAGACAGCAGGAGGTGGCGTTTCCGAAAGCAATATTTGACAGGTATTGAATGAACAAATAAACTTTTTGATTGATGGAGATGAAAATTGACCTCAGATTTCTAGAATGAGTAAAATGATAATTTTTTAATAGGAAAAATTCTAGATACTTAAAAGATAAAGTCTGTCAGCATTGTGCTTTATTCAGATGTCCTCTCTAAGTTTTTTAAAATTGTCTTAATGTTTATTTTATTTGTGAGAGAGAGAGAGAGAGACAGAGTGGGGGAGGGGAAGAGAGAGAGAGAGAGACAGAGACAGAGAGAGAGAATCTGAAGCAGTCTCCAGGCTCTGAGCTGTCAGCATAGAGTCTGACGTGGGGCTCGAACCCCTGAACCGTGAGATCATGACCTGAGCCGAAGTCGGATACTCAACTGACTGAGCCACTAAGGTGCCCCTCTTAATTTGTTTTTTTAATACAAGCATATTTGGATGGAAGGATTTGTTCAAATATGTTGATGGTACTGACAGAATATATGCCTATTTTGTTAATTTGTGTGCCCTTCTTCAAATGTGAGGCACTTAATGAAGGCTTGCAAACATTCCATTTTACAGGTGTGTGGTTACCGCCTAAGACTTCATTTTGATGGTTATTTAAGCTGCTACGATTTTTGGACCAATGCTGGTTCCCCTGACATTCATCCAGTTGGGTGGTGTGAAAAGACCAAACACGAATTGCACATCCCTAAGGGTAAGCCAGGATGGAAAGAGAGTTCATTTTATTTTAACAACATTTTATGAAACACTAACAAGAGAGCCTGGTGTGAATTGATTTTCAAAATGAAAGTTTAACCCACAAAAAGCAGTAAGACTACAAGGATACCATTTTTAGAAATGAATGAAAGTCTTTAAAAGAAAACCACCACTGATTGTTAAGGTCTTCTGATGAGGTACCTAAGGCAGAAATAAAATCTTACGAGTCCCATAAAGTTTATCAAACCTTATAAGGAATGAAGAAATTATTTCTTATGACGATTGAAATGAAATATTTCATTTAGTCTCTGGTGCCATACAGGGAGGAAACTCAGTTCATTTGTATGTCATTTGTTTCCAACAAATCTTGGAAAACAGGGAGCTATGAAAGAGAAGACAGTTTCACAGTCTGCTTTCTTTTGATGGGAATTAAAAATCTCATCTTTGTCTTTTGTTATGTGCCAGAGGAACCTGGTGCTGGCAGATGTGACTGAAGCCTTTTTTATTTGTTGTGCGCTGGTGAAATGAGGATTTAATCAGTTGAGGTGCCCTTGGGCCTATTTCCTTGCACAGCAGACTTCTGTATAAGGTCTCCTGCTTGCCTGTTTTAGAGTATTTGATGACTGTACCACTTCTGGAATCAGTATACACTTGTTTCATCCTCAGTAAACCAACTCAGATTATCCTTGGCAGATCTGTCCCTGAGACTAATGGCAGAATCCCTCAGATTGCCGGATTTCATGGAGGCTGGTCACAGGCTCATTCGTTCAGTAGGTATTTATGGAGCCCTTGCTGTGTGCAGGCACTGGGAACGGAGCCGTGACTACAATAAACCATGTCTGTCTTCATGAGGCTTTCATTCCAGAGGGGAGAGGAGTAATAAAGATAAGCTATAGTGTCAAGAAGTAACTGGGCTAGGGGGCAGAGCGTGCTGAGGAAGGGCGTGAGAATGTGACATCCCACACTTTTAGGTGGATGAAGTGAGGGAAATCAGGGAGGCTTCTTGGCTAAGAAACCTGTCAGAGAGAAAAGCAAGAGGAAACACGCTGGTGCTAGAACCTCTGGCCCCATTGAGAAATCTCAAGGGGGTGAATGTGGCTGGCGCAGAGAAAGCAAGGGCATGAGGGAGGAGATGAAGTGAAGGGTGTAAACCTGACCTGGGAGACGTTGCAAGGAGTTTGACTTTTATTTTGTGTAACAGTCAATCAGAAAATATTTATTGAGCCCCTCTTACGTGGGCCAGCACCATTTGAGTCACTTCAGGGCACATGGAGAGGAGGATTCAAATGAAAAGTGGGAAATACATAAGGATAAACACCAGAAAGTTGGAGCTGCCAGATGGTCTTTGGATTGTGAAGGGGTTTCTATAATTTCCCCAAGGGCCTGACGCCCTGGATTGTTGCATCACCAAGATCTCTGACCTTCTCAGTGACGTGGCTTCTTCAGGTGATGATCATCTCAGGGACTTTTGTCTCTTCCCTTCGTCCATGTTGGAAGCCTTACTAAAAGATGAGACTCCCATCAGGCTACCAGGGTGCCAATTCCGTGTCTTAATTGTGTTTAAAAAATTTGTAGGCAGTGGCATGCATGATGGGAAGTCACAACAGTTTTGAATTTCATACGTTAAAAAACATTGAAACAATTTAGGGATTTTAATTTAAATCTTTTGTGCTCTGCTCAAGGACACTGAATTTCTGACAAGACTGGAGAAGGCTAATATATTAATATGTGCATGGTTACATCCTGTGGGTATTTTGAGCAATCCATATTTTTTTAGGCTATAGGAAAGATAAATTTGTTTGGATGGATTACTTGAAGGCCTGCAAATTGCAAAATGCTCCCAAGAAATTATTCAGAAACAGGAGTTCTGTAAGTATTTTCTTTCTCAGTATGAATCAGATTTCTACTTGAGCTTAAATGTCTTAGAATCCACTATATATTCTGTTGTATTTTAATCTTTTCAGAATCCTTTGCTTCCTATGACTTTTCTCACTTAATTTGTCAATTTCCTATGGGCATGACTTTTTTTCCCCCTTTAAATGTACAATTAAATACTTTAGTTAGATGCAGAGAGTTGAAGACTTTATATTAAAATCCTACTAAAATTTAAAATGCCTTTTAGAAGTGTTGTTTCTTTTCGCTTCCAGTGAGTTACTTGTTTCAACTTACCTTTGGTATTTTGAGACCCGTAGTTACCAAGGTGAACTTTGAATAAACCCAGCCTAGTTGGATTTACGTGTAACGAGAAAGAGGGTGACATTTCATACAGATTCAAGGGGCATATGAAGATCTCGGTAGAGCACACTCCTTTAGCCCTGTGTCCTCAGCAACCAACCAGCTCTTCAGGAGAGAATGGGAGTAAGGTGCAGAGTCCCTCTCTATCTGCCCCCACCCCACAGTAAGGCCACACTCCAGGAAAGAAGGCAGGAAAGCCTAATGTCATCCTGCCACCTGCTGGCCGAGTCCCTCTGTAGGACACGCACCCTGATCTTGAAATCAATGTTCTACAACTGCTCTAGAATTGTGTCAAGGAAACAGAGTAATAGAAATGGGGAACTGCTTTTAAAAATGTAATGTGCTAAAGGAAAACAAAAAGCAGGGCACAGTATAGGCAGTGAAGAAAATACTCTTCTAGCCCCCTTCTTCTTCTAGAATAGTATGTATACTTTCTAAATCCCCGAACCAGCTAATTACACCCTACAAAAAGTGGGGGTTTGTTATAGTATTGTTGCAGTAAATCATAGCCCTTGCTGTTTTGTTAATATGAAAAAATATGTATGGATACTAAAAAAAAGCATTTGGATTATTTTTAAGTTTGAGTTTGTTTATGGATTAGTGCATGTGTTTCTTAAATATTGAGAAAGCCACTATTTTCAGATCTCATCAAAGTAAATGATAATTTTGGTGCTAAAGAGCCTATCTTTACTGCTTCTCTAAATTCTGATGTTTGGAAACTATTCAAAAGCCTACAAGAAGCAGAGAAAATTATTTGACACACTTGTATTCAGTAAACATCATATTTTAAAATTAATGCAATTTCTTCTAAGAACTGAAAAGGGAAGGTGAGGAGGAGGGAAATAAAAGTTTCCTGCACACAAATGTAAAAGCTAGTTACCGGGGGTTTTTATTATGAATGTAACGGTTCGCTGAGATATTGTTACTAGCATGTGCTGGCTTCATTCCAGAGGGTAAGTGTTGATATCCCCTTAGACTGTTCTCATGCTCAGTCCTCTTTGGTGTCCTGTTTCTTTTTGTGCTTCTTCCATCTGGTGCTGTGTTAGAATGGGCCAATGCCTAAAGAATTTCAGGTTGGAATGAAGCTGGAGGCCGTCGACAGGAAGAACCCTTCCTTGGTGTGTGTGGCAACCATAGCAGATATTGTTGAAGATCGCTTACTAGTGCATTTTGACAATTGGGATGATAGTTACGATTACTGGTGAGACACCAATGTGCGTTTTATTTTTGTGTGTTCATGTTTGGTGTTAAAGAATTTAATTTCATTTCAGTCCTATTACCGTTCTTTCTGTTCGTAGAGTAATGAACGTCAGAAATTTAGGGGCCAACTTTTCACTACCTTCTCTTCCACATGAATTGCTGAATTAAAGAGTCTGAGAAAGTCCATTCTATGAGAGGTTACCTAATGAGGCTTCTTCTGAAATCATATGACCAGTTCAGGGCCCTTCACTCTAGTGTGTCTAGTTTGTAAGGGAAGCATTTCTATGAAGAGGAAGTTAAGAACTTGCAGTATTTTTTCCCCCTGATAAATGTTGAACTCAGCCTGTCATATTTTTTAAAGGGAAGATTTCACAGGGAGAACGGAGGAGAGTGAATTATTTGAAAGCCTGTGGGGAGCAGAGAAAATGTATGCCACGGTACCATTAAACTAACATTGCATGAGTTAAAAGGGTTTTCTGGGTAAAAACCTGAAATATGGAAGAGGGAATGGCAAAAATAATTTTTCTAGCATTTCTTCACAGTGTATCCTGAAAAACCAACACGTCTCTGCCTGAGGCTGTGGTTCTTCATGTACGTGAAGGGGACCCGGGTTTCTTCTTTGAACTAAGATAAGAAGTAGAACGTTGATTAATTGTTCTACGTGTCTTAGATACAATGATCTGGGCTCCTTGAAAAAAAGAGGGAGGAAGTTGTAGGCACATGCAGTCTGATTGGTCTGTCTTATTAAACTTTGGACCGGCCTATTAATATTTCCCCTTGCTGCTAGCAAGAAGCAGTGGAAGAGGCTTATTAAAAAGCGCACTCTTTGGAGATATTGCTGGCAGCTAAGGTTCCAGTCCAACACTTTTTAAAAGTAAATTTCAAAAGAAGTTTGGTCACTTACCTTATAAAATACAGTGCTAAAAATTACTTCTGATTCTATTTGGTTATAAAATATTTTAGGTATGTAGTTGTATCTTCCATGGTGTCTCGTAGTGTCTAGTATGGTCATGACCCTTGGATTTTTTCTCTGGCATGGAGTCGTATAGGCTCTGAACTAGAATCCTGTTTTGCAGGTGTGACGTAAATAGCCCTTATGTCCAGCCAGTTGGCTGGTGTCAGGAGAATGGAAGAACTCTGATTGCACCCCAAGGTGAGTCGACTGGCGGGTTTTCTTTGAAGCATCTCTGTGTGAGTAGCAATGCCTATTTTTATTTTTGTTATGCAAACCCCATTTCAATGGCAAGTGTATGACAAAAATACTGTGCAAGATTCTGTTGACCGCCAAGTAACCCACATGTCTGAAATCTGCTTATCTTTCCCATGATAAAAATGGACTGTCTTTATAAAGATGTATTAGGTCGCCATTTAAAAAAAGTTGCTAAAAAGTTTTACCCAATAAAATGAGTACCATTGCTGCAGATCAGTATTTCAAACCAACTACTTCCACCTACATACTTTATCTTGTAACTTATGTTAATTCACTAGTTGAACCTTAAGATTATTAAATACACTTAACTTTGGGGTTAAATGAAAAATGTAGAAATCTAAGGAGTGAGAGTTAGCTGTGAGTCTTCAGACTTGCCAGAACTTTTCACCAAACCAATTTAATGGGTCAGCTAAACAACAAAGTAAGGACTCTTTCTAGTTATTTATATTTTTTCTCACTACAGAAATAATAAGTATTTACAAACTTTCTCTATCAAATTTGTGTTTTCTAATTTCAAAATTAATTAGATACAGTAGCTGTGTAAGCTTAGCATTTTTAAAATGAATATGTATTCTAGGAGAAACCAATTTCTTTCAATAAAAGATGTGCAGGAAGAAATGTAGAGTCTGTAACGTGCCATTCTAGAATGGAGCAGATATTTAATGTTTTTATTTGATGATTCTAGAATTTTACTGTGTTTTAATCTTTTTTTCTCAATACAGAAAAATGATTAGAATTTGTCATCAAAATGACATGAAACAAATTCAGAAATTAAAAACAACAAACCAAACCAAGCAAAATTTTAAAAAACTACAACCTATTTAAACTATTCAATTAGTCTAGAAAAGTTTTATAAAATGTGTAACCTGTTCTCAAATTATGATTTTGATACACAGATTTAGAGTTGCTTCATCTATTTTTCTGTAAAACTGGCTAAAGCTACCTTTAGAATAACGTTCTTCAAGATGAGGTGAAGTGCTCTTCAGATCTCAGAATACATGGCTTGAGTTGATGTGCCTGGAGGTAGAGCACCCTCTGTTTGCCAGTTTCCTCTGGTGGATAACTTCTCTGCTGCCTGCAGCATGTTTCCACTGGACTTCCTGGATAGGGTCAGTGGTTAAGTTCATCACTTCGTCTCTTGGTGCTGTGTCAGTTGAGAAATAGTCTGTGTAGTACTTTAAGCATTGTTATGTCCAGAGTCTTTTTTTTTAATTTTTTGATGTTTAATTATTTTTGAGAGAGACAGAGCATGAGCAGGGGAGGGGCAGAAAAGAGAGGGAGCCCCAGAATCTGAAGCAGGCTCCAGGCTCTGAGCTGTCAGCATAGAGCCCTATGTGAGACTTGAACCCCCAAACTGTGAGATCATGACCTGAACTGAAGTCAGAGACTTAACCAACTGAGCTACCCAGGCACCCCTGTCCAGAAATTTTCCATCGTTAACATGAACTGAGGATTGAGGAGGCAAAGCTCCCATATCCCAAATAAGGCCAAGGCTTATGGTGCTGCTTGATGGGAGTAGGATACTATTTAGTTCATAAAGTCAATAAAGTACCAGGAACTCAACCCTTGTTTGTCATTTTCCCTGTGAAATTGATTGCATATACAAATACCATCACCATTCTGAAATTTGAGTAAGAGTTGTAGCCATAGACCAGTTTAGTGATAGTCTACGTTTCTTACCTAAGACTTAGGTTTAAAATTCTGAGGAGATTTTGTCCTGTTGTACAATGTCTGAATTAGAATCTTCCAGTTAACCTGCCTCTAAACCTTACACATTACAAAGGGTTTTTATATAGGAAAATACTAACCTCCTCTAAGCCCCAGTTCACACAACACTTCGTTTCCCTTTAGCAAATTCTTTACCTTCCTTTTTTTCCTATTGAGATATAATCCACACATTATAAATTTCACCTTTTAGTGTATAATTCAGTGGTGTTTAGTATACTTACAAGGTGGTACAACTGTCACCATATACCAGAGATTTTCATCACCTCCCAAAGAATGTCATCCTCATTTTCTTCTCCCTCTCAGGCCTAGGCAACCACCACTCTCTATCTCTGTGGATTTGACTGTTCTGGACACTTGGCACATGTGGAATCATAGAGTATGTGGCTTATTGTGTCTTGGCTTCTTCCATTCAGTATATTGTTTTCCGAGTTCATGTTGTAGCATGTCTCAGTACATCATTCCTTTAGTTTACAAATACTTTAGTGTGTAGATATACACATTTTGTTTATGCATTCATTAGTTGATGGGCATTTGGTTCGTTTTCACTTTGTGACTATTATGAATAAAGCTGCTATAAACTTCCATGTACTAGTGTTTGAGTGATATGTTTTCATTTCTTTTGGCTATAATTCTAGGAATTGAATTGCTGGGTCATAAGGTAACTCCATTTGAGGAATTGGCAAACTGTTTTCCAAAGGGGGCCACACAGTGTACATTCATTCCTGCTGGCAAGGAATGAGAATTCTACCTCTTCCACATCCTCACCAGCATGCTATTGTCTTCTTGATTACAGCCTCCCTAGTGTGTGTGAAGGTAGATCTCTTTGTCCTTTTGATTTGCATTTCTATTTTTTTTTAAATAGTTTATTGTCAAATTAGTTTCTACATAACACTCAGTGCTCATCCCCAAAGTGCCCTTCTCTATGCCCATCCTCCCTCCCCCCCACATCCATCAGTCCTCAATTTTTGTCAGCATTCAAGAGTCTCTCATGGTTTGCCTCTCTCCCTTTCCCCCACCATTTCCGCCCTTCTTCTCCCCCTTGTTCCTCCGTCAAGTTCCTCCTAATCCTCCTATATGTGCAAACATATGATATTTGTCCTTCTCTGCCTGATTTGCATTTCTATAATGACTAATGATGTGGAACATCTTTTGCTGTGGTTATTGGCCATTTGTGTATCTTCTTTCAAAAAATATTCAGATCTTTTGCCCACTCTTAAGTTGGTTTATCTGCCTTTTTATTATTGAGCTGTAAGTGCTCTTTGGGTATCAGATGCTGCTGTTGTTTTCACTGTCTCGATGGCTTCTTTTAAAGCACAAAATTTTTAATTTTGATGAAGTCCGACTTGTCTGTTTTTTTTTTTTTTCTTTTGTTGTGCTTTTTTGCTAAGAAGGCACTCCCTCATATTTGGTCACAAAGACTTGTTACAAAAAACTCTTCTTTCCCTATTGATTGGTCTTAGCGGAATTCTTGAAAATAGGTTGACTATAGATACATGAGTTTATTTCTGGATTCTCAATTCTATTGTATTCCTTTACATGTCTGTCCTTATGCCAGTACCAGACTATCTTGATTTCTGTGACTTTGTAGTAAGTATTGAAAATAGGAATTGTGAGTCCTTTAACTCTATTTTCTTCTTTCTCAAGATTGTTTTGGCTGTTCTGAGTCACATGCAAATATGTCCCTATGAATTTTAGAATTAGCTTGCCAATTTCTGTCCAAAAAAAAGTCAGTGGGAGTTTTGATAGGGATTGATCTGTAGATCGAGTTGGGGATTAGCCATCTCATAAACATTAAAATTTTCAGCCCATGAACCTGGGACATCTTTTCACTTCTATAGATCTTCTTTCGTTCTTTTTCAATTATATTTTGTAGATTTTAGTCTTTAAGTCAGTCTATTTATTAACTTTGTTCCTAAGTATTCTGTTTTTTCTTAACTGAAGTGAAATTTACATGACACAATTAACCATTTTAAAGTGTACAATTTAAAAAAATAAAAAAAATAAAAAAAAATAGTGTACAATTTAGGGGCACCTGAGTGGCTCATTTGGTTAAGCTCAGGTCATGATCTCATGGTTCATGTGTTCAAGGCCCACATCAGGCTCCGCGCTGACAACCTGGAGCCTGCTTAAGATTCTTTCTCTCTCCATCTCTCTGTCCTTCCTCTGCTCAAGCTCACTCTGTCTCTCAAAATAAATAAGTAAACTGAAAAAAATAAAGTGTACAATTTAGTGGTGGTGTATTGAGTGTTATGCAACCATCAGCTCTCTCTAGTTTCAAAAACTTTCATCATTCAATAAAAACATTCTGTACTTATTAATAGACACTCCCCACCTCTCATCCCCTTGTAATCTCTACCTGGCTTTCTGTGAATTTCCCATTCTTGATGTATTATACATTTTATATGAAAAAGAATCCTATAATACGTGTTTGTATTTGGCTTCTTTTACTTACTGTAATGTTTTCAGCATTCATCCAAGTTGTAGCATGTATTGGTATTTCATTCCTTTTTATGACTGAATACTATTCTAGTGTATGTACATATACCATGATTTGTCTGTCCATTCATCTGTTGATGGACATTTGGTTTGTTTTTACTTTTGGCTATTTTTACTAGTGCTACTATAAGCATTCATGTACAGTTTTCTGTGTAGACACGTGTCTTTGCTTCTCTTTGGTGTACTACACCTACTGTAGAATTGCTGGGTCATATGATAATTCTATGTTTAACATTTTGAAGAACAGACAACTGTTTTCTGAAGTACCTGTGTCATTTTACATTCTCACGAGCAACATGTGAGAATTCTTACTTTTCAACATCCTTGCCAACTTGTTCTCTTCTGTTTTCTTAATTAAGGCCTACTGGGTGTGAGGTGGTACCTTATTGTGGTTTTGATCTGTATTTCTCTAATGACCAGTGATGTTGATCATCTGCTCTTGTGGTTATGGGCCATTTGCATATCTTTTGAGAAATATTTATTCAAATCTTTTGCCTGTTTTTTTATTATTTATATATTAGTTAAATATTATGTCTGCTTACTAATCTATATAGTATAAATGATTTGCAAATGTCTTATTACATTCTATAGATTGAATTTTAACATTCTTGATAGTGTGTTTTGCTGTAAAATAGTTTTTAGTATTGATGAAGTCCAATTTATCCATTTTTTCATTCAGTGATTGTGCTTTGATATTAAATCCAAGAATCCATTGCCAA